GGGGCTCATCAGCCAGCTCTGCTTTATTTCAGTGCCATGCACCTTCCCTGGAGGAGGAGGATGCTTTGGTACAAAAACATCAAAAAAAAAAAAAAAAAAAGATAAATCCAGCGTGGGCTGGTGATTAGGCTGGCACCTCTCCCCCTGCCCATCTGTTGGGCACCGCTGGGCACTGCGGTGCTCCTACACAGACCCCACAGTGCCCGCGATCCACTCCCCCCATCGTGCTGTGTGTGGGGTGTCCTGGGACGGCCCTGGGCACGAGGTGCAGCTCCGGGTGGTGATGAGATGAGGCTGAAGGCGTGCAAAGGATTTGGGGCTTCTGCCGCGCTCGTCTGGTTTGCGACCGAGTGAGAAACGTGCTCACCGCGCTCGGCACGGCTCCAAAGGGCACTGCATGGGGAGGAGGGGGGAAGGGCCGGGGTCGGGGAGCGGGGCTGGGAGCGGAGCTGCATCCCTGGCTCCCGGCCGCGGTGCCGGCGCAGAGGAGGGCCCTGGGTCCGGGGCTCCTGGCTGACTGCACTGCCGCTCTGTTGCAGGCGGCACTCGTACCGGACGGGGCAGGACATCGCCAACTGCGGGACGTGCCGGGACTGCGCCTGCATCATCTACAGGTACGGGGCAGCGCTGCCGCCCCGGGGAAGTTCCTGCGCTCTTTTCCTCCCCCTTCACTCGGCGCCGCGCTCCCTGTTGGTAGCAGAAACGCCTCCCTGAGCCCGAGGACGGGACGCGGCGCAGTGGTGCGGTGCCATCAGGGTCCCCGCGCTGTCCCAGTGCAGGGTGACCCGGGAGCCCCGCCGGCACCTCCGCTGTGCCCCGGCTCCTCCCGCCGGTAGCGGTGATGCGCTCAGAGCCGGCGCTGAGCAGCGCCATGGGCGGAGGGCGCGCGCTTCTCGGCCGCATCGGAGCTGGAGGTGCCCCAGATCCGCCCCCCCCGCGCTCCGTCCCCTCGCTCGGCCGGGCCCTGCTGGCGCTGCCTCTCGGCGGCGGCTCGTTGCCACCCGAGCCCAGAGCCGACTCCCCGCGGTAGCTCGTGGGGGCCGTCAGCGCTAATTGGGTCTGACGAGGCTGTCTCCATGCGGCACTGCGGCTGGGAGAGATGGCACCGCTGGGGAGGAGGGTCCTGCTGAGGGCTCCCGCCGGGCTCCGCTGCCTCCACGTGAGGGGAAAAGGCTCCGGTGGGACACGGTGGGAGCGGAGCGGGGGGCGGCGGGACGGGGGCAGCTCCACGGGGCTGCGCAGGGCTGCACGCGGCTGCGGGGGACGGCGGTGGTCGGGTGGGCAGAACGAAGACGGGTGGGCAGAGAGCACAGCGGGAAGGGGCTGCAGGACGGCGGCTGCGCTGCGAGCGGCTCCCCGTGCCGCCCGGCACTCGGCCGTCTGTCCGAGCTCGCCCTTTCTGCTAGAGGTAGCTGGGGATAACGCTGCCCTCGTGATGTGTGGTGACACGGGGTGCTGCGCGGCTGTCAGAGCCACGTGCGGTGTCGGCGGCAGCACCTCGCTGATGTGATGGGAGGTGGCTGCTCGGAGATGGAAGTGCTTTCCGGGTGAGGGAGCATCGCAGCACGTGGCCTCCCGCGCCCTGCCTGCTGCGGGGACAGCGGGGGGTCCGGGGACGTGCAGGAGAGCTGGTGGTGCCGGTGGGTGATGCGTCCCCTCCTTCCCTACCCGGACCAGCGGTGCCCCCGTGCCTTGCATCGGGATTGGTTTCAGGCTCTCACCCCGGCTCCTTGTGCTGTGGCTGCACCGGGCTCAGGGGCGCGAGGGCAGTGGGGGTCTGTAACCCCAGCGCTTTGTACAGCCTCTTTCCAGGGGCTCTCGTGGGTCTCAGAGCTGTTCCCCAGCTGGGGCGGGGGCCTGGCTCCCACCCCGGCCAGGTCGATACTCAAAGCATTGTATTGCAGCAGACCCGCAGGGCACACGGGCAGCCCTTGCCCCTCCTGGTATGGGCACAGCATCGCCCCTCAGCCCGGTGCTGCTGCACTCCTACCGCGGGGACTCAGCCCCCGCTGCACAAAACCAAAGTACCCGGTGCCAAAGTGCCACCAGCTCAGGGTGCGGGAGATGAGCTCCGGGCATTCGGGGAGGGCCCACGCAGCGGCTCAGCTCTGCAGGAGGGGTTTGGTGCATTTGGTGTTTAAGGCAACGGAGCTTGGGTGAGGGGATGGAACGGCAGGAAAAGGATGGGGAGCCACAGCCAGGGGCAGCTCTGAGAGCAGCTTCGACGCTAGGAATGAAAGGGGAAGCGCCATTGGGTCAGGGCCGTCTGTCCGTCCGTCCCTCCAGAACTGAGGGTCCCACTGTGCTCTGGCTGCAGCGCGGTGCCGTGTGTGGGCAGGACACGATTCTGCACGATACGACAGCCGCCCTCGGCCCGGGTCCGGCCCCCACCCCACTCACAGCCGCGCTGCACGCAGGCGGTGGGGGGCAGCGGCTGCAGGCTGAGCCGAGCCCCCGGCGCCGCAGCAGCGCCGTGACGCCGCCCCTTCTCCCCGCAGCGTGGAGCACGACTTTCGGCAGCAGGAGGGCCGCTTCCAGCGGGTGCTGAGCCACATGGAGGGCGACGCGGCACACAGCAGCCCCGCACCGGGGCCCGGCCCCCCCGCCCGGCAGGAGGCTTCGCCCCCTGCTAAGCTGGACGCCAAGAAATCCCGGCGGAAGTGCTTCTGGTTCCTGTGAGCCCCGGCACTGACAACCGGCTCCTGCCTCCTCTCCCTCCCTCTGACGTTAGGGTTTGGGTAGCACCAGCTTTTATATTTTTAACCGTTCCGTTTAACGTACTGAAGAACCCGTGTAAATAAGAGGGGGGGGAGCAGCGGCTGTATTGATGGAGAAACCAATAAATTCCAGGGAGACGCTATTTTTGTTACACCCTCTCCTGGCTGTGCGCTTCTGTTCTGGATGCAGCTGAAGCTGCAACCCCCGGTCCCACATCAGTGCTGCGATCCCATCCTGGCCCCAAGCAGCCCCGCGGCTCCAGCAGGTTCTCAGAGACCCCACCGAACAGTGGGAGCACCGTGAGAGCCCTGCGCCCATTGCCAGGGGTGGTGGAGAAGGGCAGGGGAGAGGAGCCCCGGCACGGGCAGGCTGGGACCCAGGAGTGCGGCTGCTCTCATAGAATCAGTCACCCAGGCTGGAGAAACCCTCCAAGATGCCCGGCTCCACCCCACCGTGCCCACTGTCCTCGTCCCCCAGTGCCACATCTCTGTGGTTCTGAACACCTCTGCGGATGGTGACCCCCAGTCCCTGGCAGCCGTGTCGATACCCGACCGCTCTGCAGGAGAAATTATTGCTGAGATCCAACCTGAGCCTCTCCTGATTCAATGAGAGACCGCCTCCCCTCCCCGAGCTGCTCTCTGCCCACTGAGGCCGTTGTGTGCTGGGGTCACCCTGCAGCCTGGCCGTCCCTGCACAGCCCAGGGCAGAAGCTGACCCCCCCCCCGCTCTTTGTCAGGCCAGGCCCCCGTCTGCAGGATGCACCAGTTGATTACATGGGGGCAGAATTCAGCAGCTCAAATATTCCAACCTGCAAAAGGAGCAGCTCAGCATCGATGTAACGATGGCTCTGGATCAGAGCGGTCAGCAGCAGCAGCAGCAGCCCGGCTGGGGGCTGCAAGCAGTGGGGTGAAGCCTGGGACTGCGACAGCACCATGAAAGGGATGAACTAAGGTGAGAAAGCTGCCAGACAGCATTTCTGGAGCACAGCAGGGCCAGAGCGGGGGAAGAGGAGCGCGCAGAGAGCGAGGCTCAGCCAAAGCACTGCCCTCCATCTCCTCGCGCTGCGCATCAGGCCGTGCTCCGGCAGCCGGCGCTGCTCGTTATCTCTGTCACAGCCCCACAGGTAGCTTCAAACAGCTCTTTTTTTGCTCTCGCTTCCTCTGGCACTGAATCATGCATTCTGAGAACAAAGGCTAAAAGCGAGATGATACCAAACCCAACCCAGCACGCATCGCCTGCCTGAATCCACCTGAATCACAACCAGCAAGAGCCCACCCACCCAGACTGCTGGCACAGTCTGCCACAGCCTTATACAGCCCTGCACAGCCCAGCACAGCCCAGCACAGCCCAGCACAGTCTGACACAGCCCAGCACAGGGCTACTTGCAGCCAGATGTATAGGAAGGGCTGCACCCTGCACCATCTCAGCAGTGGGGTCACTCCAAGAGCATAGAGATGCTGTCTGGAATGGCTCCTGAAGCAGGCAGGCCCCTCTGCCAGTAGCAGCAGCATGGCCAGTGAGAAGGGAGGTCCCATCCTGCCCGTAGCACCTTGGTTTAGCCACGTATTTGTGAATGAGAGCCAAGCACGGAATGGCAGAACTACAGGTTTGCTCCAAAACCTCCCTAGACGCGATGCACGGCACGGCACGGGATGACACAGCATGGCAGGTCCCCACAGCACTGCATCCCAAATGCCACCAGACCCTTCCCCTTGCCCCACACAGCCCAGAGCCACGTGCCCGGCCTGCTGCACACAGCCTGGCTGTCCACGCTTGCACAGAGCACGTTTCCTCCTCCCGCATGATGAAACCACTGCGCCCGGTGCAGCTGCGCTGCGCAGAGCCTCAGCCGTGCTGCAGCCTGCCAACAGCTCAGCACGAGGTGGGCATCCCAGCGTGCTGCTCCCATGTGTAAAATGAGGAACGTTTGTGGGGTCCGATCACTGCTTTGCAGAGAATGCAGCCCAAACCCCCGCATCTGCTTCCAGACGAGCCTCCTGCACCGCAAGCACCCTGCGCGCTCCTCCCAGCGCTCCTCCTACTCCGCGACCCGCTTCTGCCGCATTTCCTCCTTCCTTTTTTGGGCTTCCTCGTGCATCCCGCTGCGTTAAATACCCACAAACCCATCCCCAGCAGCTGCTGCCAGACACCACGGCACCGCCGAGGAACATTTGCCACCTGCTCCCCATCCCCACACCACGCAGCCCTTCCCTCACTTCCTCATCCCCGTGGAAGCGGAGCGGCGGAGCCGTCCCACGCCCGGCCAGGCGGTGGTAACTCACCCTGAGGCTGTTGTCCCTCTCCAGGACGATCACCCTCCGGTTCACGGTGTGCAGCAGCCGCTCCAGGATCAGCTGGACGTGCCTCTTCACCTTCACCTGCAAGGCGCGGGGAGTCACGGCCGCAGTGGGTGCAGTGGGGTGCAGGCGATGCTCATCTCCCCAGGTGACCCCGAGCCAGGCCGGGGGCAGCCCTTGTGCCAACGCAGCGCCCCTGAGAGCAACAGGCATCTGCAGCCCGATGAGCAGAAGCTGCTGGCACGGGGAGCAGCCCCACACCGGTTCCTGCTCTGCCGCAGCTCCCTGCTGGAAGCTGCAGAGTTGGCAGGGCTTTTTCTTCATGTGGGCACAGGAGGAACCGTCCCCATGCCCTCAGCAGGGCCCTGAAGCACTGCTGGGCAGCCCTGGCTTCTGCCAGGTGGCTGAGATGTGTAACACAGAGCCACCCGCAGGAGATGTCGGGGTTGGTGGCACTGGCAGTGCCAGCAGAGGCCCCGAATTCACCACTGGGCACAGCAGAGCCCAGGGCAAGGAGCACACATCAACCCAGGCTGTGCCTCCGTGCTCCTGAGCTGCAGCTCTGACACCCGTGGCTGCCACACAGTTCCCACAGAGAGCTGGGAAGGGGCAGAACTGGGGCACCTTCAGCTGAGGCACTGGCACAGGTTGCCCAAGGAGGCTGTGGATGCCCCAGCCCTGCAGGCATTCAAGGCCAGGCTGGATGTGGCTCTGGGCAGCCTGGGCTGCTGGCTGGTGACCTGCACACAGCAGGGGTTGGAGCTGGATGAGTGCTGTGCTCCTTTGCAACCCAGGCCATTCTATGATTCTGTGGTTCTATGAGACCTCCCCCAGCTGCTCCCCTGTGCACAACCTGTGTCCTCTATGCTGGCTGGCTCCACTCACTCCTTCATCCATTCATCCTTCCCAAAACTTCTGCTCAGCAGCTGAAAATCCCCACTGCTCCAACTGCACGCTACGCACTGAAACCTCGGAGTGCAGAAATCCCAACTGACCCTGGGCACAGCAGACCCAGCGTGGCACCCGAGCGCTGGGGAGAGCCTCGTGCACCTCCTGCCCAGCACAGGACGAGGTCCTTCCTTTCACGCAGCCTCTCAGCTTGCATCCTCAGCATGCACATCTCCTCTTTTTGCACCTGGCTGTGCCCGTCCCCACACAGGGATGCAGAGCAGTGCAGTTGGTGGCAGCCACGATCCCCGCCACCCAACTTCAGTCCCACTCCAGCTGTACCAGGAGCGCAGCCCACACCCAATGCAGCTTTTGCTTTCATCTCAGACTCTGTGTCCCCTCGCTGCCTGCTGCCTTCTGTCCCTGTCCTCCAAGCGAGGCACATGCTGGCCCCTGGCAGCCCCAGGTGAATGTCATATGAGCACAAGAGCACTTTGTTCCCAATGCAGAGATGTAGTGAGGAGATCTCCTGTAGGAAATCCTACTCAAATCTCAGAGATGCCCGCAAGAAAGCAGTGCAACAAAGTGCTGCAGGGTGTCTCAGTGCTTCTGCTGTGTGCCTGAGGTCAGCTTTCCAAAAGTGACACACTGCTCCATCATGGGACACATTGAGGGGGTCCCAGACACCTGGGGGGCACCCAGACACAGCCTGGGCTACGGCACAGGCACAGCTGCCAGCACAGGAAAGCAGGCAGGGGCAGCATCCTGCTGAGCTGAAGCACAGCTCTCTGCACTCTCCTAAACTGTTGCAGGAACAGCAGCACCGGGAGCTGCCAGGACGCCCCAAGGGCTTGCAGGGTGGCAGAGAACAAGGCCTCAGGGGCTGTGGGGTGGCGTGCAGCAAAAGGACAGGGCACAACCACTGTGGCACGGGCACGGCTGCACTCAAGGCATCAGCCTGGCGCTGCAGCTGAGCTGAACCTGCTGAGGTTTCATGGCTGCAGCATCCCGAGCCCCAAAGCTGCCCCAGTGCACAGCCTGGCTGCCTTGTACCACAGCCAGTGCAGCCAAGCAGAGCGCAGAGCACGCTCACAGCACCGCGGGTCTCAGGGCAGACACTGCTGGAGGTGTGGGGGGGGATGGCCTCATCACCCTCCACAGCAGATCTGGGAACTGTTTGGATGTTACGGTCTCATAGGGCTGTCTGGGCAGGCAGAGACCCGAGCAGCAGCAGGGTCTCAGTCAAGAGAACAACACCTCACCCGCAGTGCCTCACTGAGGGAACTCCTTGCAGTGAGAAGTAATGAAAACCTCGTGGAAAGCAGGCCATGGCACAGAGCACCGCTGGAGAGCATCATCCCCGTACGCACAACCAGTGGTGTGGGCCCTAAGGGCTCGCAGCACAGCCTGCAGCCCCCAGCCCTCAGGCACTGCTGCAGGCGGCTCCTCCATCCCTGCAGCAGCGCAGCTCCGTGCGCCGACCCCAGGAGACGCCGCAGTCCTGCTCTGGGCAGGAGGTGCACGAGGCTCCCCCCAGGTTTGGGTGCCCAAATCCCCCTGCACACCCCCAGGACCGGCACTCACCAGCTCCGAGTCGCCGCGCTCCCTGCGCCGCTCCTCCTCTGCTCTCTGCAACAAACACAGCGCTGCAAATCAGCGCAAAGCCCCCACAGCCACCCCTGCGACGAACAGCAGCCAGACGTATTTCCAAGGTGAAGCCAACACAGAGAGCAGGGAGCAGCCGAGCAGCTGGGCGCTACCTTCTGGGCCGCGTACAGCACCTCCAGGATGGTGCTGAGCAGCTCAACGCAGGCGTCCTCCTCCTCGCCCCTCTCTATCAGGTCCTGCAGGACGGGCATGGCCATGCGCAGCAGCAGATCCCGGCACTCTGTGGGGCGGGTGGAGGTGTGGGGCTGGCAGAGGGGCTGGCAGAGGGCACCCACAGCTCCCCACACTGAGAGGGACTGAGAGCAAGGAGGGAGCACAAAGCATTTGGGCCGCAGCCTGGAGCTCTGGAAAGACTTCAAATGCTAACAGAAAGGCTCCGCGACTCCGCAGTGCTGCTCTGCTAAGGGTGCTTTGGGTTTAACCCAACAGATGGAGACTTTCTCACTCAAACGGCCCCTGGCTGCCAGGGCTCGGCCAGCGCTGCCTCCGCACAGCACCGCTCAGCTTTGAGGTACCCTTACAGCCATGCTCTGGCAGCCCCTTCCTCCTTGCAGGCAAAACTTAACAAGCCTGTGTTAATCACCACCCGTACTAATATCAATAGTTGGACTGGATGGTCTTAAGGGCCTTTGGATGGTCTTAAGGGCCTTCTCCAACCTCAGAGGTGCCACGGCTCTAAGCGTGAGCTGTGGAACCACACACAGCATCCTTCCCGCAGGACAGCAAACCGCCAACATCCTCACCCTGAAAATCACCGCTGCCACCCCTCTGCAGCCCTTTCCTCCCTCTTGGCCCAATTTCCTTCTGCAACACAACGTGTTTTAAAGCCGTTCCTGGAGCTCAGTACCACAGCACCAGGCGTCGGCAACGAGCGGCCTTTGGCAGCAGCTCTGGGAGCTCAGGTCCCGCAGGCACAACTCGGCGCTGCCGGAGCAAAGGGGGGCAGCGGGGTGGGGGGACGCAAGCTGTGCTGCGCTCGGCAGCGCGGGCCGTGCAGCAGGAGCCCACGCTGCTCTCACCGTAGGACTGGAAGATTTTGCTGTTGACGATGTCAGTCAGGGACTGCAGCTTCTGCCTCAGCAGGCGCTGGGGCTGCAGGTTGCCGATGAAGTCGCGCAGCAGGAGCCTGCCGTGCAGATAGGAGAATCAATGAGCACCAGCCATCAAGCTGCGGGACCCGGCCAAGGCCAGGACAAGGCCAGGCTGCTCTGCGGCCCCAAGCGCTGCCACCCCTTTCCTTCGGAGAAGGCAGCGGGAAGGCGCTGCCCTGCCCCCCGCTGACCCCTGCCAGCACTGAGCCAAATCCCCACGTTGCACGGGAAGGGCCTGAGAGGCACTGCCCACCCCGGGGGGCTGGGGTGGGTATCACTGCGGGGGGGAGAGGGGCTGGGGCCGGGACACTTACCCCAGCATAGAGGCATCAAAGATCCCAAAGACGTCCTCCAGGATGGAAGGCAGATACTTGAGGGCTGCTCCCTGCGCAGAGATGAGGCTGCTGAGCACGTGCCCGTGGGGCAGCGTGGATGGACAGAAGGACGGACAGACAGACATCAAACACACAGGGCGGTGACCACTGCGCTGCCCGCACCCTGCACCCAAAATCACTGCCGTGGCACCCGTGTCTCTTTCCCAATGGCCCCAGGGATGCTCCCAGCACAGCAGCGCTGTTCCGACCCAAAGAAACGCTCATCCCTGCACCATGCCTCTCCATCCCTAATTGCTTCTTTCCCTTTTCTCTACTGAGGAGATACATATTAAACAGATTACAAAGCAGTTCTTTTAATGCATTCATACAACTCTAATTTTAAACCAGAACACTGTACAAAGCTGAACCGCTGCTCGTCTCACACGCTGCCTTGGTTATCTCATTCAGTCACATTCACAGCTTCGGAACAAGCATCTCCTACATTTGATTTCTTTATTAACCTCCGTGCTTAGCCGAGCTGGGCCGATTAACATTAATTTTTCTGCCACTCCTTAATTCTGCATTGACTGCACCCTCTGTGGTGGAACCACAATGGTCAGAGGTTCTGTCAGAGAGGCACGGCTGTGGGGAAGGGGCCGTGTGCCATGGGGACAGCAATGGGGCACGGCTATGGGAGGCACCGTGTGCCGTGGGGATCTGACCGTGCCGCAGCCTGCAGCCCCGTCCCACCTCAGACCTCAGCTGCATTCGGTGCAGAGCAGAGCAGGGGGAGCAGGACCAGCCCAGCACTGCTGGGGTACCGGGGGATGCTGACTGCTCCCCGCCCCAGCAGCACACAGGTTTGTCCCTGACGCTGTGCTGCCCCACATTCCTCATCAGACCCAAACGAGGCTCCTTCCCGGGGCACAGAGAGGTCAAAAGAGTGCAAAACCCCAAAGCCTGAAGTGTTCCAACAAAGGAGCGCTCCCTTCACGAAGAAGGTGGCCTTCCCGGGCGTGCTGCA